CAGTTTCGAACAACCGCTGCATGCCACAGACGTAGCGAGTCATGACCACAAGGAACATGTCTTCGTAGTGTACCGAAACCTGACAGTCAGAAAAGATACAAACACGATCTCGGACGGCAACCTTTTGCACTCGCAGTGAGTCGCAAGGTGTGTGTGTGTGTACACATGTCTATATGTAACACACTCCTACCTATGATGTTTGTGTCCAATTCTATGTGCTGTTTCATCTATCTCTGTCTATCTCTCTTTCTCTGGATCTGCCTCCCTCCCTCCGGTCCTTCCCTCCTTCCTTATCAATGTGTCTATCTGCCTATCTGCCTAACTGCCTGTCTGTCTATCTGTCTGTCTGTCTGAATCCACCTATCTACCAATGTACCGTGTACATATCTACCTATCTCTACCTATCTACCTATCTATCTATCTACCTATGTATCCATCTATCCATCCATCCATCCATCTATCTAAACAGGGCGCGAACCCGAGCCCAGCTCAGTGTAGGCATGCTGCAGACTAAGGCTGCGATCCTTACCGAAGGTGGACGACCTTGTCGGGCCTGGAAGACCTGCACTGAGCAAGGGCTTTTAATTTTGTCAAGTCTCGTCGAAAGACATGACTTAGGGCGTTTTGGTAGCGTTCTGTAACATCTGCTGGACTTCCCGCACAAGTAGAGCGTACTGTAAGGTTTCGACCGTGCTCACAAGCTGCAAGCTAGGTGCAACTGAAGTTTCTTGCGCTTCGAAGCAGATGATTCTGGCATTTTTTTTCCAGGCTTGTGGGGTGGCGCATTATTTCTGAAAAACCACAGAAGCCTGCCCTTGCAAGTCTTATGTGTTAGTCGTTAGTCAGGCGTCCTCATAACGTGGACTGACCTAGAGCTGGGCCTTCTTGGGCGCGAGCTCGAGCTGCGGAATCTGCGGAAGATTTAAGAACCCCTCGCAAATGCGAGAGCGGGCGAGTCGACTCAAAAGGGTTCCAACCTGTGAATCGCTGGGAGTGCACCTGAAAGGGAAGGCGATCGACTCTGCTCCGTCTCGTTTGCCATCCTTCGGGCTCCCAGCTCCCAGTCACGGCTGAGATCGTCATGTGAGTGAATTTCCGAGCAGTGCCAGCACCCTGGCAAGCTGATCTGAGTCACGTGCTCCAACCAATCGTAAGTTCCTCGTGGAGTCTGCCAATGGCCGTGTCCACGTCAAAGGCGCCACGGTTTCCCGACAGGAGCAGTTCGGAAGATGCGGCGAGCTCTTTCCGGTTGGTCCGGGTGTCACTCGTGCCTGAAGCCTTTAGCAGCATGAGCGATCGAAACCGACACGTGCGTAGCAGCATTTAAGGATTATAGCACCATCTGTCAGGTAATGACACGTCGATGGTCGGCAGTCTGGCTTGCTGCGTGCAGCTCAGAAGACGGGTGAGCTTCTCGCCCGTGGCTTTCTGGCACATGCAGTTGAGTACTACGTGGGCGAATCGTAAACCCTAAGCCAAGCATGATCCTTAACCCGAATCAACGGGACAAGTGCTCCAAGAGATCAGAGGCCGCTTTGATTCTTCTTGCTTCCGATGGGCCGTGGACCTGGCCTGTGTAGGGGTCATAACGAAGCAAGGACATGAGAAGTAGTTGCAAGATGTAATATAGCTAGCATCAGCAAGTCGGTTTCAAAAGCTTGGAGCTTGGTGTTGGTAGTCTCGCTCTTTGGTTTTTGGGGCTTCGGCATTGGCGCTTCTGCCTGCTCAGGGCCTCACTTCGAGGATCTCTGATGCTACAGTACGAGTCTTCCGAGTTTCCCGCGGACATCTTTGGGCAGTAGTGTTCTGTGCATCAGGTTTGAAAGAACATACCGAACCAGAGAACCCCACTTGTGTTGTAATCAGTGTCGGCGGAACCAAGCCAAGTCCAACAGCACCCGTTGCGATGCGCTGAGATCTGGTATCGTGTACATGGCCTTTACCAAGTCTAGTCTAAACGTCTAAACTCATGTGTAAACTCATGTAGACATGTTGCCAACTTTGTAGTTGTGGGGTTTTATCCAGAAAATAAAGCCAGACACGTGCAAAGACCATGAGATACACAGCTCGACTCGACGAGATGTTATTACATGCCGGAATGACATGCAGGGTTTCGACTCGATGCAATGCAATTTCGTGCCCTGGTGCAATTGACCATACCGGTACTGCTACAGAGTACAGCGGCAGGCGGTGTAATGTAATTTGCATTGTGGCACAAGGCGTAACGTCGGCAACGTGACTGGGTCCAGTGGGAGGTTTGATACGGAAGGCGGAAACGCGCCCAACTCTTTCACGCCCTGAAGCCAAGCCCCCTCCCCCCCCCCAAGCCCAAGAAGCTCCGCACCGCTATCAGCAGCCTAGAGCCCTAGAGACGAAACCATGCCGTTATGCCCTGAATCCCATATCCGCTGAAGCCCCTTCAGGCAATGGAGTCCTGCACCCCCTCAAACCCTCAACCTTCTCAACCCCCCCCAAAAGACCCCCTTCTGTTCAATGCCAACAAAGCCCGAACAAAACCACCCCAAACAAGCACCCAGAAAACCTCATCGGCCGAGGCTTAGGTCCTTCGTGAACTCGGGCTCGAAGCTGAGAGTCTTTTGTCCAAGTCTGGGCCGGGGAGGGGTTCAGGGGCGGTTCAGGGTCTAGGATGGTTTAGGATGGGGGGGTGAAGTTTGGGAGTTTTGCAGGTTTTGGGGGTTTTGGCTTGTAAGTCTAGTGGGGCTCCGTTCCAGGCTTACAAGACCGCAGCTCTCGCGCTTCAAGCTCTTCGAGGCCAGGGGACAAGGGCTTATAGAATAGATAGTCTTATAGTAAGATCCGGCGACAGAATGAAACTGACGACCAGCGCAAGAAACAGAAGCATTTCACTAGTTGCGCTATCCTTATCACAAGGCTTCCCGAAGCAAGGTACCCCCTCCACTCGCAAAAACCACCACCGTCTCTGCAAACACGGGGCGACAGCTGTGCATCCAAGGTCTTGTAATCACACGAAAGGATGTCCGGGAACCAGCTTTATCAACAGCGACTTTCTGGTAAAATCTAAAGGGGAAGCTCAAGATGGTCGGTTATCATAGTACCATACAGATCCTGTGCGCAGCTTTGAACTCTGCTGCGGCTAGGTGGCCTAAAGTGCAAGTATGCAAACGCTCACATAACACCAGCATAGCGCAAACGCGCACATACACAGAGCACACACACACACACACTCTCACTCTCACTCTCGCTCTCACTGTCGCTCTTGCTCTTCCCATCCCTCTCCCTCTCACTCTCACTCTCGCTCTTACTGTCGCTCTCGCTCTCCCTCTTACTCGAAGCATGCACACGTACATTCCCAGCCTCTCTCTCTCTCTCTCTCTCTCTCTTCTAAATTTTCTTTCTGTCTGTGTCTCTACATTCAGTTGTGCACTGACCGCTCGGAGTGGAAGGCATTGAAGCTTAGGAGGCTCCGCTGACAGGCAGATCGCGTCACGAGCCACCAAAGCTGTCGCGCCAGCATCCCGGCATTTGGGCGGAAGGGCGGGCTTGCACCGTTGTTATAGAGTGAGAACAAGTCATTGGTAATTTCTATCATCGCTGTTACAGTGGGCATCTGTCATGAGCGTCTTCTTTTCCGGCTGCTGCGATTGCTCTCTTGGCGTTGGCCTCGTTCTCACGACTATTTGCCTTGTTAATTGCTTCCTGGTTTCCTGTAAGGATGGTTAGATTGAAAGTCCTGTCCACATTCGGTTGATTCCGTTACCGCCAGAGTGAATGCAGCAGTTTTTTTTACATACAGCCGTTGTGATTGTGAGTATGAATGCGTGGCCGTGGTCGTGACCGTGATGTATACAAATTTCGTAAGTAGAGCGTTGTTACATGATTGTGTTCTCCGCTTGCGAAAAGCAAGCCTCTATATGCCTCCTGCATCCTCACAGTTGCAATGCTAGTGGCCTGCGCGAACGCTTCCTTTGGTCGCAGCACCGGCTGCAGCAGCAGTTATGGTCGTCGTCGGACTTCGTTTACTACGTCACTGCCTTTACTGTTACTACTACGACGACGACACCGAAGTAGTAGAAGAAGAAGCAGAAGAAGAAGTAGTAGTAGTAGTAGTAGTCGTCGTCGTCGTAGTCGTAGTCGTAGTCGTAGTCGTAGTCGTAGTAGTAGTCGTGGTGGCGGTGGTGGTGGTGGTGGTGGAGGTGGTAGTGCTGGTGGTGCTGGTGGTGGTGGTGGTGGTGGTGGTGGTGGCAGTGGTCGTCGTAGTGGCAGTTGTCGTGGTATTGGTCCGTACTGGTACTGAGTACTGGTCGTGGTGGTGGTGGTGGTGGTGGCACAAGTGCAGGTAAGCATCGTATCGAAAGTGGCAATACCTGAAGTGGTGTAACTGCTAGAGACATAACCGTAGTTGCCACGGTAATGACGAGTAGCAGTACATCTTTGACACTCCGAGGCCCGATGCCCTGGCTACAGAGGCTCACTCGGGCATGAGAGTTGAGGGTTCCAGACCCAAAGCAAGGACCCATACCACGGTAACAGAGTAACAGCCAACCCCTGTATGCTCATAGTTGGCTTTGCAGAAGCAACGCAACTCCTTCGCGATCAGAGCTGAAGCCCTGAACCTTAAGCCCCAATCCTCGAACCCTTCAAACGCCGAGATGCCCTAAATTCGAGCACGCCTTAAATCCGGAAAGCCACCAAACATCTTCGGTCCTCTTCCCGCGGCTATTTCGGTTCCCTTTAAGGGCCAAGGGTCCCCCGCAAAAAGCGGCCGGAAGCTGGAGGTGACATGGTGCGTGTTTGGGGGCTTCTTTTGTGGGATGGCCTACACCCGAAGCCCAGGTTTTTTGAGCTTTGCTTGGGGCTGTTGGGCCCTGGCAGGCGCAATTTCGGGTTTGTTGTGGGCTGTGCACTTCCCAAGGCCCCTGAGCCTTTGAGCCTTGACGGCGGTGTACGGCGGTGTACACGAGAGCAGAGCTCAGGTTGCGGAGAGGCCTTCGCCTTGGAAGCCTCGGCGAAGCGAAGAAATGGCCAATGTCACCATCGACCAGCTGAGCCCGGAGCAGAAGGCCCCCAGATGTTTGCGTCATGTGTGGACATGTGTAGGACATGCAGTTTTGGACCTTGTGACTTGTAGCCATGTGCGGGGTTTAGTGAGCTAGTGCACGTCGAAGTTTCAGCAACTTCAAGTTCAAGTCGCGCTGCACCGATGCCAGGGTGAGCTGGCCTGCACTTACGCTGCGCTGATCCTCCACGATGACGGCGCAGAAACGTGGCAGCAACGTTTCGGCGGGATTTGCGCCGAGTCTAGCGATTTGGTGAAGTCCAAGTCGTGCCTTGAGGACATCACGCCCGCCTCCATGAGCACTTTGATCAAGGACCAGCAGCAGCTTGAGATGACTCAATGTTAGTCCGTCGGTCAGGGCGCAGCTGTTTGCCGCATTGTGAGTGTGAAATCAGCATGTGCATCGCCGACTATGAGTGGTTCTGTTTTCTCGAGCTGCATTGACTGCACCGTCCTTGCAGGCAGCCGGTTGCAACGTGGAGGGCTACTGGCCGATGATTATGGCGCCTGGGCAGACCAGCCTGTGGAGTCACTTTCAGAAAACTCTTCTGCGGACTGCTTCCAACTTCAAATTGACCTTGAGTTTATTGCTTTGGATGGTGCTGCCCAAAGGCCAACAAAGATCCCTAAGACTCCTTCGCATAACTTAGCCCACCTCCCTTGCCTTGAGAGCTTCTGTACGATGTAGCCCCAACAGTGAGATCTGGAATGCAAAAATTCCAAAATATCCACATATATTCTATATAAATATATGGGCACATATGTATGTATGTAGGCATCCATACATGCGCTGCCATTGCCAGGCACTTCCGTCCGTCATGTGGAAGGTTGTTGCCAGAGACGTGCTTATTACTATTAGGGCCCGATTCTGAGCATACTCCCAGTCGAAGATGGTCAACAGCGTCGGCATGGAGGCCCTGATCAAGCCGCGGTCTCAGCTGAAATAGCAAAAACAACTCAAAAGAGCAGCAAAAACCGGAGTATCACAACAACGACGACGACAACTCCGCTGTGGCAATCACTACCCCTGCTAGTGACAGCTGCTAGTGCCCATACCGCTACCAGCACCACGACGACGATGGCAATGACGACGACGAGGGCTACGGCTACTACGACCGCTTTGGCTACCAGTACTGCTGCTACTACGCACGGTCTACTTTTCATGGCACGAGACGCTACCAATCCGCAGAACCACGACGGTCTTAGCATCCTGCCGAGCTGGTCCTTTTCTGGATTTCAGTCATATGTGCGAGTATGTTCACTTCTACGGCTTTGCTAAATGCCAAAGTCGGTCATGCAGCTGTCGTTGCTCTTGCTGCGTCGAGTTCTTGGTATTTTCACAGCCAAACTCCCATGGTAATCGTCGAGCGCGACTGTAAGTTTCACGTCTCATTGCCATCTCTGCATGCACCTGGAGGCTGGCTTTGAAGAGGGTTGTGAGGTCTCTTGAAAGGGGATTGTATGAGCTCGCAACGTGCCCCCACAGCAGCTACACCCCAAAGATTGGATTGTTGTGAAAGTCATAGAGCCCAAAACCGCGGTGTCGTGTACAAAGTGCTTGGGCTAGTAACATGTGCATTGGCCCGGACACGGCTGATTCAGTGTACACGTAGGGGTTCTCCTCCCCTCACAGGGAACATGCCCGGCTTGGAAGGGCGGCACTGGGGGCACGCTCTGGCGAGGTGAAGGTCGTATGCGTGGAACGCTCGGGTGGGATGGGTGGCACGGCGGAGTTGGAGGTCTCGCACGTGGGATGGGCGTCATGCAGCAACCAATGTTGGCGTAACGATGCCCAGTAACCTTGGGCATTCCGATTTGTTTGTGATTGCGAACAGCAAGTCGTTTGTCGAATTTTTGGCCAGCAAAAGCATCGTAGCTGACCGGCACCCCAAGCGCCGCCGGGACATCTTGTGGCCATCTGCACTGACACCCAGGGTTTTTGCTGCACCCCACACACTCTAAGCCCGAGCAATCCCAATTTCCTTACTTGCCCTCACGCCAAGGCTCGGCAGCGGCGCAGGAGGCGGTGGCGGAGGAGGCGGCGGCGGCGGCGGCGCCGTCGCCGCAGCCGGGGCTGCAGGCGGCGAAGCGAAGGCCGAGGAGAAGAAGAAGGCGGGGGGGGGGGGGCCCTTGGCCCTTGTTGTTTTGTGCATAGCCGTATAGCTTATTGCTTGGCCGTGTTTCTGAAATCGGCTTTACAGTCTTTTTGTATACCGTTGTTTTCTCTGGGGGTTTCTTGATGTTTGGGGCGCTGCTTGCCCGGGCTGTCGAACTGCTCAGCGCGGTTCTGGGTTAGGGCCGGTCAGAGTCATGGGTTTAGGGTTTCAGCGTTAAGCGTCACTGTGTGGCAATGCCAGGTTGAGGAGGAAGAGGAGGAAGAAGAGATGGACTTCGATCTGTTCGGATGAGGCAGGACTGAGGCGTTTATTGAAAGAGGTGCCTGCAGCTGTTTGCCATTTGCATGTGCAGGCTGGCAGTCCCCAAGCCTGATCGTGGTCTGTTTTTGTCGTTCCCAACATGTAGGACTTCAGATGCAGACGGCAGGTGACTTCTGGTTCAGCTCCGCGACGCTTCGGGGGCAAAGAAAACAGCTGCATATAGGGGAGAGTCAGCAGCGTAGGCTGCCTTTGCCATCGGCCTTGCTTGCCGCATGAAGCGTTTTGCCCTTTTTGCGAGTATCGGCCCAACGCTGCAGCGCCGCTGTTTTAGAGCGCCAGCGCTCTTCTTCCGTACCGGCCGTACCTGTGTCAGTGAACACCACTTGGCGCCATGGCTTGGCGCTCGTGCAGGCTCAAGGAGCGCATTGCTCGGTGCGTGAATGTGGATCATCTTGAGCCAGAGGAAGAGCAGGGGAAAGGGATCCTCAAGGCCAAGACCACCGTCCTCAGCATGGGTCAGCCTGCGAAGGTAGGATGTTGTGCCACCTTTCGTGCGGTCTTCAGCCTCTACCTTCCATACTTTCTGGACCGCAAGACGCGGTGCCGCGCCTGGGTGCTGATGCTTGTGGTCGCCGCCTGCTTGGTGGCAAGCACGGCCCTGAGCGTGCGCATCACAGAGGTCAATGGAGCCATGGAGAACATCATCGTCGCAAAGGAGGTGGACGAGTTTTGGGCGATTTTTTGGAACTTTATCTTGCTGAATTTTCTGAAGGTGCCCCTCATCATGGTAAAACTTGGTAGTCACATTCTGCTGCGCATGGACTGGCGCAGGTATCTAACTCGCCGCATGCTTCAGCTCTACGTGAGTGAGAGCAGTGGCTTCTACCGCTTGAGCATGCAGTATGGCAATGTGGACAACCCTGACGAGCGCATCGCGCAGAACATCGGAACCTTCACCGAAGCCTCCTTGAACCTTACCGTCTCCCTTCTGGATGATCTTCTGACCATAATGGCGAACTGCACGAAACTCTTCGCAATCTCGCCGATGCTCTTCTACATCCTGACTGCCATGTCCGTGCTCTACACCGGCCTCATGTTGGGGTTGTTTGCCGGGCCCCTCATGCGCGTTCAGCGGCGCGTGCTGGCAGTCGAGGCGAGCCTTCGGTATTGCCTGATGCGCATTCGGGAGAGCGCGGAGTCTGTGGCGTTCTTCCGTGGCTTCAAATACGAGTATATACGAGTGCTGCGAGAAAGTCCTGGACTATGCGATATGGGCCGAGTACAAGAGGACCGGCATCCAGATCCTCTACGAGGCTGCCAGCAACTTGTTGGACATGGGAACGGAGGTTATCCCAATGTGCGTGTTGTTTCCTTTGTGGTTTCAAGGCGAGCTGGACTTTGGGACCGTTGGCCAGGCAAACCAGTTCTTTCAAAACACCATGGGCGGCATGATGGATCTGGGCAGCCAGCTTGAGACCATCTCCCAGCTCGGAGCCGACACCATCCGCATTAAGGAGCTTTGGGACGCTCTGCAAAAGATCGAGGAGGAAAGCAAAGATTCCGACTCAAAGAGTGAAGCCTCGACGCAGACGGACCCGGATTCGGAGGACTACTCTGAGATCGAGGGGCTGGACTCCTCCGATGAGACAGAGCTGGACCTTCCGGAGGAGAAGCTGCACATCGAGGACATCGACCCTGTGACCTCAACTCTCCGGCTGCAGGTGTCGGAGGTCAGCGATGCCCAAAACTCAAAAATCGTGACTTTGCGCCAGAACCGTCTAGAGCGCCTCCAGACAAGCGAGAAAACCGCCATGACTCGTTGTTTACCCCAGAATGAGCAGACTTGATGATGAGCTTTGAGGATTTTTTTTGGTACAGCGGCGCCGGAAAAACTTGGGATGCGACGGTCGGACGCGGGGGGGTTCCAAAAGAACAAACAAGCAAGTCATCGGGAATCAGAGAAGAAGCTTCAGGGAGGGGGCACAATCAAGCACTTCCGATGAGTTCTGCATGGCAATTTTCTATCTTCGGCACAGGAAGTAGGAATTTCCGTTGCGAGACTGTGAGAGACTTCGGAGGTCACGCTCTTCCCACCTTTGGGCAACGCTCCGTTGATGGAAGGTTTGTCCTTCGACCTCTACGGGGGCCAATCCCTCCTGATCGAGGGAGCCAGTGGATCGGGGAAAAGTTCGCTGCTGCGGGCCATTGCAGGTCTCTGGATAAGCGGCCGGGGCAAGATACGGCGAACCAAGATCGAGAGGTGCTTCTTCGTGCCGCAGACGCCCTACCTCTGTCTCGGCTCACTTCGAGACAACCTCCTCTATCCGCGTCGAGAGGGTGTGGAGGAGCCAAGTACTACACTGATCTTCGAGGTGTTGAGCAAGCTGAAGATCGACCATCTTCCGAAACGCCTTGGCATGGACGAAGAAGTGGACTTGCAGAAGATCCTCTCCGGGGGTGAGAGGCAGCGGCTGAATCTGGCGAGGCTGTTGCTCCAACCCAATGTGGATCTGGCCATCATGGACGAATCGACAGCTGCCTTGGACGAGGAGAACGAGCGCACGGCCTACGAACTCGTGCAGAATCATGTGGGTTGCTACATCTCCGTGGGTCATCGCCCCGGCCTCGTCGCCTGCCATACGCATCGGCTCCAGCTCGTGAAGACAAGCAGGGACGTCTGTCGCGGAGTGCTGTCGGAAGTGAGAGCTGAAGGGCAGCGCGATAGGCGGAGGACTATGTGAGAAGAGTATATAGTAACTGCCAAAAGCTTGGAACATCAGTGTCCTCGTGCGGTAGTGTTAAGCTGCAGAGGCAATTCCATCACGAGCCATTTTCGTTGAAAGTTCCAACTTTTGGAGTTTGCTGTATGCATTTTTTCCTGTACTTGCCAGATTGCTTAGACTACTTGCTGTAGATGGGCTGGTACTTAGCTGCGAGCATTGCGGCAAAGTGGCCTGTGAAAATTCCTGAGCGGGCGAGTGGATTAGGACCGGGTTTGGGGTATGTGGGCACACAGGGAGGGTGGGGGGGATGGACTCGGACGGTGACGGTGATCTCTAGACTCAGAAGCCATGAATTCCGTCCTTGGGAGGTCCAGGCAGCGGCGGCGGCCGCCGGCACAGCGGCGGCGCGACGGGAAGTCAGGTCCGGGTTCGTCGGAAAAGCTTCGCTTCCAGTATCTTCCAGTCACCTGAAGAGCCACGAGGGGCTGTTAGGGCTCTTCTTCTTGTTTTAAGGGCTTGTCTGAGGGGAAAGCCCACCAGCCTCTTGCTTGCTTCAGGGCCCTAAGGACACTTTGCCGAACTGTTGGCCAAACGCCTGGCCGGGGGTAGTTCCCTCCGAAGTTCGCAGCCGAGAACCAACATGCATGTGACTGATGAGCTGAACCACATTGCCGAAACCCGACAGTGCATCGAGTCCGTGTCGGAATCCAGCTTCGTTTCGTCGAAACCGACACAGAGTACTCTGACTCTGCGCTGTGCTGCGATCAGCTCGTGCGATCAGGCTGCGACTGCTGGCTGCTGCGGCATCCACATGCGGGGGACCTCAGGAGACGGAGAAAGCCGCGTTGTTTCAGAGCCTTCCGAGAGCCTTCGGTCCCCAGGCCGTGGCCAATGCGGAAGCGAGGCAGATCGACAAGGCCCGGAAAGCCGCGTCGTCGGAGTATCCCAAGTTCAGGGCTTTCAAAGAGAACTCGAGGTGCGCTGCAGCTCGTCAAAGCGATGGAGGCCTTGAACCCCACGCCGGAGCCCACCAAAGGCTCGGACAGACTGCTCACAGCGGGAGGGCCCGAAAGTTGATGGGTGAGATGTCGGGACGGTCTTTGGTTGAAATGCTGTGGCTGTTGACGACGTCCGAAGGCGGCAGGTCGCTCGCATCTCTGGGGTCTCTAGGGTTTTCTTATCTGACGAGGCCTCCTGGAAGGAAAATGGAGGCTGATTTTCGCTTCGGAGGACCTGACTGATGCTGCTCTGTGTTGTTTCGTAGTCTTATGTAAGTGTCTTTTCTGCTTGCTTGCTTTCTTGGGCTCTTCTGTCGGTTCCCATCCCGGTTTGTGTTTTTCTTCCTGTGCAAGTGCAAGAGCGGGGCTGGAGGGGCTGCATGGTTGGCCTGCAGAAGCCTCGTTGCTGCAACCATCAGCAGCGGAAAGGCCCCAGGGCCCCAGGGCCCCAGGGCCCCAGAACTGAAGCTAGCCCCAAACACCCGCGAGACACGCGGTCGTGAGGACGTGACGAGGTCCTCGCCCTTCTTCTGGGGCTGGCGGAGGATGCTCGAGGCGGGTGCCCGCCCCCTCCGCTCCGCTGCGCCCGCGGAGCCGTTCTTCTTGCACCATCGCAACAGAGCCTTTCGTAGATCCTTCGCGAACTGCAGAGATCTGTAGAGTTTTGCGATTGAGCTGCCCCCAAATCAGCATGATCGTGTCAGAAGCTGAGTTGCCCAGGGAATTCCGGATCCTTCGCCTTTGAGCCGGGCCCTCTTCAACACTGAGGACCGCTTCGTTTCCGTAGACGACGGAGCTCGTGGCAATTTCAGAATCCGAACTCCTCCTAGGTACTCGAATTCGAGCAGGCAACCTTCACCCTTTGTCTGATCTGCTCGCTACTAGTAGCCGTTGATCTTCCACTTAAGCCTCAGAACCCACCCAGGGCTCCAGCCTCCAGGGCCCAAATGCCCACCCGCTCTTAGCTGGAAAGAGGGCCCGGCGAAAAAGACTCGCAGCCTCCGAGCCCAGCAGAGCCTGAAACGAGGAGCTTTCTGAATCGATTTTCGCCTTCACGGATGGCTCGATGCTCGGAAGACTGCAACAGAGAATAACACAGGGTGGTAGCAGTGATGGTAGTCATGAATGAATGACTGCAACAACGGAAGGGCAGTATAGTCCATCTCGTAGTCACTTGGTGCCATGCTGGCGCTGCTTTTTGCGACGATGCTTGTTGCCTTCTGGTTTATACTTATTGCGTTTTTGTTGATTTTGTCGTCTTTTTTGTCATTGTCATATTCCGCTTGGTGGCGACGAGTGCATGGTCCCTGCTCGTTCTACTGTTATTACGCTTGGCCCCTTGGGTTGCTTTTATTGCGCTCGCGTACGAGGTAAGACGCTGTGTATTTGTTGTTTGATTGAGCTTTCCACCATCACCACCACCACCACCACCACCGCGGCGGCGGCATGGCCACAACTGCCATCTCTGCCGCCGCCACCACCCCTGCCACCGCCACCCCCGCCACCGTTTCCGCTGCCAGCACCACCACCAGCGCGACCAACGTTGAGTGGCACACGGCATGAGGCGGAGAAAGTCAGACACTGCTGTGCAAGATTCACATTGACGTCTCGACAAGGCATCCCGCTGAAGAACATCGGGGAGGCCACGCAAACTCTCTACAACGGGCAGATCGTCAACCGAGTGGCCGTGGAGGTTCGGAGCTCGTCGGGGATTCCAAGCTCTGGCGTGTTTCTGATGCGTCTCAGAGTCACGGCTTCGACGTTTGACATTGGCCTCTGCAGATTTGGGGCCTTGGCACGACCGTGATGACGACCACTTGCAGGCACCTGGCTGCGAGATTCATAGCTTCAGAAAGGGGCGTGAGCTGCTGAGCTGCTGCCGGCCCTCTGATCTCCTCTACCGTCTCCTGTTCAATGGGACTGGGTGGCAGCAGTAGGGGTTCAGAAGACAGTTCCTTCATCTGTCGGTGCGGCGCTTCTGAAGCATCTTCCTGCTCTGCTCGTTGCTTGCGCTCTTCCTCGCCATCTCGCAGAGTGCCACGGCCTGGCTCCTCACTGGCAGGTACATGCCTGCAGAGGATCCTTCTGAGCTCCTGCTGACCGTTGAGACGACACAGGCAAGGGCCCACAGACCCCCCTCCCGGATAACGAGGGCCTGTCATGCTGCCCTCATGATGCCAGTCTTCCATTTGTTGAAGGGAGCGACGGAGACTCAGAGGATCCCTTCATACGCCTAAACCCTGGAACACCCTAAACTACCCTTGCCTGAACTCTTCACTTTTCGTGGTCGTGTCAGGCTGTGGACAACACGCTACCCCTCGCCGACCAAGTCGTCTTCCCGTCCGAGGCACACGGAGAGAATAGCGGAAACCGCCACAGTAAGGCCTGATTGCTCTTAAAACCAATAGTTCTTGCAGCACGCTGTTTAACATGCGGCTCATCGGGGTTTGCCCGGAATTCGTAGCGCTGCCATCGGACCAAAGACAGCAGCAAAGGATGGTGCAGTTCCGCGACTCCCCTGTGCCCTTTCGGAAGTAGTGTCCGAAAGGCTTTTGCTTTCCGTGATGGCTTCCTGATTGCCAGACCTTCCTTGGCGACAATGCCCGCCTCCGGGCACGAGTGACGTGCGCCCGCATCTTGAACAGCTCGACTGGGAAGTGTCCTTGTCATGGCATCCCTTAGAGAGGCCTGAGGCCCTGAGGCCCTTCATCTGCGAGTCGTTTGCACTGCGCCATGCACTGTTTTCGCAGGTATTTGGACGAGGATCTGAGGATATTCCGGAATGAGCTCGACGACCAAGTTTTTGTATATGTGCGTGCATGAGCTGCCATCGGAGCCTCAGCCTCTGGCCCACGAGGCCACTTTGCGGTCTTGAGAGACTTGATTAAGCCGGTGAATGGACCGCGCGGTGCAGCGAAGTGCCGGCAGAGCGAACAGGGCCGGCCTTTGCTGCGGATCGGATTCCGATCTGAAGTATTTTAATTGTTCAATTCCAGTCATGGTTTCACATCTTGGGCAACAAGCCGATTGTTCTCGCTGAACAGCAATGTGCATACCGCTCTTGTTTTCCACAGCCAAAGCAGCACATCAAGAAGTCGCCAAGAACATTTGCCATACGTTTGCTGGATGTGCTGCCTTGGAAAGCGGGCCCCGAGTAATTTTCGCGACAGGCTCCCAGCGACGCAGCGTCTCAGGATGTAGGGCACCTGCCATCTTCTTTTAAAAAAGGCTTCTGGTCTTTGCAGTCGCCAGCATCTCTCGAGCGACTTTGGGATGTTTGGCTGCGGTTTGGAGCTTTGGGGACCCGGCCCCTCGTCACATTTCAAGGTTAGATCTAGATCGGGTCGGGTTGGTGTTCCGTAGCTACTCGTCGTCGTTAGAAGTTTGGGGTTCCAGGTCCAACCTTTTTTTTGTTGTGGGTTTGGGGCTTCGTGGGGAAGCCCGGAGACATTTCGATTCTGCTTTTGTTCAAGCTGATTGTTCGGCGAAACAAAGTACAGCATGCACATGGGCTGCAAGGCGTGCTATGCGTTCGAAGGCGGCGGAACCTCCGCAGCATTGCAGTGCTAACGTTTCGATTCAGGGGCAGGAGGAGGAGGAGTTGCAGATAATGATGTCAAAGGAACCTTTGTGGTACCCTTAAACGGATCTTGAACGGCGTAGGATTTACCTCGGGTTCCTGGAACTACCGGGAGGTCAGTATCGACAAAAACAGGCTGTTGCTCGGACACTCGTTTTAAGGGTTCTGTAAGGGTTCAGGGTTCAGGAATTTAGGATTTAAGGTTTGGGGGTTTGGGGGTTCGGGTCACGGCATTCATCTCACGTTGCAGAATAAAGTCACCATATTATGTATTGTATGCTATGTAGATCCCTAGTAGAAGTTCCCGGGTGACATAGGTTAGGAAAATCGAGTTAGATTCCTTAACAAGAACCCGGCTTTGCGCACCAAGTTGAATGTATCCGTTCAGATTTACGTACAATGGTATATTTATTTGTATACACGGAATCGAAACAATGCAGCTGACAATCAAATTTCACAACAAGAACGTCAAACGAAATGCTGTGATCTCTTGTACCAAAAGATGTGTATATATACACACATACAGATAGCTAAATAGGCAAGGCAGAAAGCAAACCGGGTCGGCCCACAAGAAAACACATAATTACAAGAGCGCAGGAAAAGCACGCCAAAGACAACACCAAGACAACATACCAGGACGAATGCATGCAGAACACCTGATCGATCATGAAAGCACAGCACCGGCATTTCAAACACACCAGCAGATCGTTGGCCACAGCCTGGACGGTTGTGCCACCTCCTCGTCTTGATGCATGCGGGAAAGAGCGCTCTCGCGAAATTTTGATCTTTGCATGTTGATGTGGAAGAAGGACGTCCGGTACTGAATTCCATCGTTTCCTAGAGGCCATCCCGTCGGAGCCAATTTGCACGGCCGAATAGAAAACTAACAACTTTCGGCAGGATGCCTGCAAGGTGCTGAAAGGACACGCGAGGATGCATGGACGGAATCTGACATAGCAGTCATTCAACAACCTTGTTCCTTGCAGCACCCAGCTTCGGTCTTCGACCATAGTGGTATCCTCGCAACCGTGTTTCGCTGCTGCCATTTCTGGCCCTGTCTACTGTGGGTGCCTCCTGTCAGTGGCGCCAGAGAGCGCCACCCCATGAGGCGTTCACTTTCGTCGGGTCAGATGCGCCACGTTGCCCCGCTCTGATTGCCTGAGCCGCGACGTTCCCAGAGCCTGGGAAGGCGCTGCTTGGCGACCTCGCTCGCCCGCTTCCTCGCTGAACACAGCGGAGGCCGTGTAGACTTCCTGGCAGTTCTTGCCGTTTGTGCTGCTGCACGGCGCTTGTCGATGGCATGGTTACTCCTGTTTCGTTGTTGCGTTGACAGTTTGTGCTGGTGACAGCTGCTGGTGGCGGTGCTGCTGCTGGTAGTGGCACTTGTCGGGCTACTTCTGCTGCTGTTGTTCTCTGGTGCTGTTGACAAATGGGAATAAGAGAAGTCGGGAGACCAGGAAGTCTAGTGTTGATGTTGTTGTTGTTGTTGATGATGCATGATGATGATGGGCATGGTGACGGTGACGGTGATGGCAATGGTGATCGTCCGGGTGGCGACCCTGGTTTCTGACAATGTCTGTAAGGACCTTGTTCACGGTCATGCTCTGCTGGATACCGGGAATGACATCTGATACGTTGTCTTTGGGTAGATTCCAGGCGGTGCAAAATGAAGTTCCTGGGTGCGCTGCGCTGAGATGTCTGCGGGACTCGTCCGCCTCATTACATAAAACTATGTGCCCCGGCATTCGTGTAGTTTTCGCAAGCTGTCGTAGTTATTTAGCTATTTCTCGTGTAGCGTGATTGCCATTCTTTCTTGGTTCGTCTTCGGGGGGGGCGGCCGGGGTCGGGGCCCAAGGCCGTGGAGGCACTCTCCGTGCCAGGGAGGGAGGCGCTCCAGCTGCTGAACCAGGCGCCCTGAAGCTCTTCGGTCATGGCACTGTTCCTTTCCAGAGCGCAACACATGCATTCTTGCTAGGCCCCAGGCCTTCAGGCTTCAGATGTTCAGGAACGGTGGGCGGTGCTTTGAAAGAAGAGACATGGGGAGCTGAGTAGGTGTGCGGAATATGTTGTACCGTAGGGTTGGAAAGAGGAATTCCAGGCTTAGCGTGCTTGTATCTCTCGTTCTCTTTCATCAGCGTATTGTTGCTGTCTGCGAAAACCGCCAGAGCAACGTCTTCCACGTTGCGGAGGATGCCGGCTGCCTCAGATTCTCTTCTCGGAGAGATCGGGATAAGTCAGCTGGCACACTCGTTGCAAAATCCCAGAGCCCAAGGCCCCCTAACAACCCTAAGGCCCTAAACTCTAAACCCAAACTCGGCGTCTGCTGGCTCAAGGCTTCCGAGCCCCTCAGGGTCCAAGATGCAGCCTGCCACGCAGTGCCTCAGGCAGCCATCCGATTGCAGGGGCTCATGCCGCCGGCATCCCAGGGTCGCGGCTAGGGTCCAGACTGCAAAGGAGCGAGACGTGACATCACACCCATGTCCGGGGTTCCAGGGTCAAGGAAGGATTTTGCCCGGGCTGTGAGCTTTGACACCAGGCTTTGGTACTTTGCCTCCGCCGAGAGATGGAATATGGTGGAATTTTCAATTGACAGATAGGCCAGACTTCATCCTGTGAATCCGCAAAGCCGTGACACCCCAAGCTCTGCAACCCGGAAGCTTGAACAGCCTACACTGAAGAGAGCCCCGGAAAGATCCAGGCCACAGCCAGAACAGCCGGTAACGCTCTTCCGCCACGAGGAGGGGGCCTTTTTGGGGCTTTGTCTTCGCGGCACAGCTTAGCGGCTTAGCCTTTTTCAGGTGTTCCGACAGTTGGTAAGCGAAGGGCTTGGTGTGGGAACCCGCGTTTGAGAAGCGGGCAAGGGCTCTGTCGAGGCCACGCAGTCTTGAAGACCCATAGCAAAAGGCCAGTCTTCCTGAATGGCGGCTGCATGCCGTAGGCCTGCAAGCCGAGGACTTTAGTCCACGAGCCGCACGGTTTTCCTTCGGTGTACAGGCTCCAACACTTTTCCGTCGCTGAGTCCAGGATGTACCAGGGGTGTTGCTGCTATCTACCTCGCCTTTGGAATCCGCCATCGCTGTAGATGGGCTCGAGGTCTAGAACTCGAAGCGAACGTGAAACCTGGAAGCCACACTGAAACCCGGAGCTGCAAATTTTAGTGGAGGACCTCGTGGACTGGGTGGTCTTTTCAATTACCTTTCTGGTCAGGGCCCAAGGGGAGCCTTCTGGCCCTTCCATGAGCTAGCAGCTAGTGTCCAGAGGTTTCCAGAACTAAAGCACGGTTTAAGGCGGGCCTGTGGGCCTGTGATAGGCTGGCTATGTCTAGGTGCCGCGATAGTTGTACACAAGGATGTGTTCCGCCAGTTTCCTGCTGTGTGAATGCCGCAGTTGTCAGGCATCCTCTGTGACTCAGCATCTTGCGGCCGCTTTCCGTTTTTCGACCTGCCAAAGAGTGATCGAAGTCAGAAACACAGACAATGAAAGTGGACGCAGGGACGCGGTGAGGAGCCTACGTCCATATGCAGCAAACGCAGACACAAATTCCATGCTCCCTCTCGCAGCATCGCTCTTTTGCAGAAGGCCTCTCGTCGTCAAACGGAAGTTCCCAAAGCCATTGGCCCCATGGGCTCGTTAGGTCCTTGTGGTCTTTGACAATTTGGTTCTCTTTGGGAAGTACGGCCGCCTCCTCGGAGTGTCTTGCGGTCTTAGATCGGCTTGCAAGGGCGAGCAGTGAGTCTTACCTTGCTTGTTATGTTTCCTTGGTGGTCATGGTGATGGTTACAATGATGATGGTGATGATGATAACGCCGTGTCCTCTTCTTTTTTTGGGAACACAGACGATTGTCAAGGTTAACGCTAATATTGTCGACGTGAGTGTCTCGCCGAAAAGCTCAGTCTTGAAGTCGGCTAGTGGTGAGGATGACAATGGTGATGGTGGTAGTTCCAAGTTTTCATCCGCAGCTGGCAAGAATAAACCACGAGCAACGTCTCTATTTTGATTCTAGGGCAGGAGCCCGGGCGCAATCGGAGCCTTCAGTCAGCGCTTCGGGACTCCTTGTGTTTCGCAATTGCGGACTCCTTCTGTTGCTTTTTGTCGCCCAGGCGGCAACATGAGCGCCTTGGATGCAGCGCACAGCCGACGGCCACGGGCCACGGGCCACAGTCGGATTTGAACTCGAGGTTTTTCGAAGGCGCTGGCTTACTCCGTCTTCTGGTGGCGTCCTCAATTGGGAGTTCAGTGGGCTAACATGGGGGTTCTGTGACTGTGATCACTGAGGCTGGTTTGCGCGGGTGGCTTCAACGGCTACATCTTCTGGTCGCGCGGAGCAGAAGCAGCCTTCGACTGGGGCACCACGGCCCTGAGACACAGTCATGAAGACGTTAAAGAGAGTCGGCTTACGAAGTCATGTTCCAGGCACGGGCTACATGCTTGCGGACGCCTCAGAAGGGTGTGGTGGATGCATGAGAAACTCGCTCTCTTGCCCATGAGCAGCCGCGTGTCTTCAGCTTGAAGCGAGCCGAGATGCTGAGCCGAGGAGTGGATGCTGTCCGTGGACAACTTGTTTGTCTTCAGGCCGACAAGACGAGGGCTGGCTATCACGAAGCGTCCGTCTCGGCTCCGCTGGCAGGAGCATCTTCCTCATCTTCCACACTCCCAACAGCCACAAGCGCCTCGGCCAAGCGAAAAAAACAGGAAAAGAGGAGCGCCGGGACGGAGCCACCAGCCACCACTTTCCCGCAGCCTAGGCACAAGCCTCTCTTCTGGGGAATCTGTGGCCCGGAGCCCAGCGGCCGCTCACCCCGGAGATCGCTGCACACCCCCCGCCGACGCGGAGGTGCGATTGTGTTTCGGATGATCTTCTTCGTGGTGGGTGAGGTCATGGCCCGGATCCCAGATCGTGAAAGAAGGCTCTTTCGATTGCTCCGCGATGTAGCTGGCCGCTGCCCTGAGTCTGCGCCTGCGCTTCCGTCTCTTGTCGCTGAGATGCACGCGTTCTGGGCCACCCACTTCTTCTTGGGGTTCTTCCTCATGTACACAGGTTACAAGGCTGGGGATGCCTTTCTGCATGTGGATGTGTGCGGAAGTCTCCTCTCCCTTCTGAGCGTCATTGAGCGTCGCTCTGGCAGATCCTCGGTGTCGAAGATGACGACGAGGCCGCACGGCAGACGCGGTTGTGTTGAGCTGCAAGCGCAGCTTGCGATCCCCCTGCGGATCGAGGACGTTCCGAGCCAGAATCCTGTCTTCCTCTGGATCATCAAGACGCCTGGCAGAGAGCATTCAAGTAAAGAGAGAGAGAGAGAGAGAGAGAGAGTTGTGTTCACCTAGGCAGTCTGTCCTCGAAGTTGAAGGCTATACAGGTATGAACCAACAACAGAGGGGCTCTGCACTCTTCTGGGGGAACCACACATCGTAGCAGCGAACACTTGTTCTGAGTGGGCGAACTATATTCTCGTACTTTACCTTGCAAGAGGTGTGGGGTTCCCGCGTGTCTTGTTGAAGTACAGCCGAGCCTGCTGGGGAAAATTCCCGGCGGGAAGCAACCGGACACCCCGCGAAGAGCGGGTGTGCGCTCGCGCACGGGGGGATCGGCCTGGATGCTGCCGTGATCCCCAAGCCCGGAAGAGGGAGAGAGGGAGGGAGGGAGGGAGAGGGATGTGGCTCTGGAATTCCGCGCCTGCGAGGAAGATCAAGCTCATCGACGCCTACTCCCCGGAGCCCGGATGCCAAATGACCCGTGCACACATGAACGTGCAGCGGAGAGACAGCGGCAGCTAAAGTCCCAGAGACGGCCGGCCGAAGCTGGAATCGCGAACGCCAGGCCCCGTTTCGTGCTGAAGGTGGCGCTGGACGCCAAGACCGAGGAGAGCTGCGAGCCACGAAGCCCCCAACAACGGGCCCCGTATAATTCCACAGATGTCGACGAAGTAGAAGCAACAGAAACTGGGCTCTTTCTCTTTGGGCACTTAGGACAGCACCGAGCCCAGTGCAACCCACAGTTGCATCGGGTGATGCAGAGCTGTCTGAAGCTGCTGTGTGATCCGATAGGTTAAGCCCTCCTGGTGTTGGTGGCAGGAGCCCGTCTTGCCTGACTGGACCCCGCAGATGTGAGATCCTCAGATCGGCACTCGACAAATCAATGCTATTTTGTCGGTGGCGGTCGTCGTCATCGTACCGGGAGAAGTGACCGGGTGTCGGCAGGTGGTACTACTACGACTTACTACTACAACTACTCCTCCTCGCCCTCCTCCTCCTCCTGCTGCTGTTGCTGCTGCTTGCCATTACTACGACGGCGACGACGGCGACCACGACTACTGCTGCTGCTGCTGCTGCTACACAACGACGGCCAGTGCCATACAGTTGTTACTGCCACTACGACTGCCTCCCTCATTGGCGCTGGCACCAGCATTATCACCACGGCAAAGACACATGCGATCGGTACTACAGCCAACATATACCGCAACGGATGCTTCCCTTTGGCCATTGCTGGCGATGTCTAGTGTTCGTGATGCCTGCTGTGGCTTGGCCTCGGCGGCTCCGAGCCGCGATGCCTCTGTGACTCTCCCAGGATGCCCAAGGACTACAATCCCGAGGCCTTGAGCATGAGCATGGCGGGTGACACCATGGAATGGGGGCACATCAGCTAAATCACGTCATGTAGAGAAAAACCTTTGTAATACTGGAAAACATACTCCGATGAAGCACGTCTCACGTGAAGGTGGCGGATGTGATGCAGGGGCGCGAACTGATCTACAGGACCCGGGGTGAGTGCATTAGACAGGCGGGACGCTGCTTTGGTCTACAGTTCTCCGAACCGGTTCCAAACAGGGTGAGGGTTGGACTGCACCCAAATCACATACACAGTAAGGGTGTTTGGGGTCTACGCTAGCAAAATGCACAAGCACGGATCCAAAGGTGCGTCTGCTGTTGAGGACATATGCCACGCGCTTGATGCTGGTGGTGCTCTGCCTGGAGGCATCGGAAGATTCCACGGACCCACTTCGGACACCATGTCCTTTGCTTGCGCCAGTTGACGGACGTCATCTTCGCTGTCCGCGACTTAAGCATGCTGCTGTTTTCATTGTATCTGGTGCATCACAACTTGCAGCCGCTGCAGGTGGACTCCATCTCGGCCATTGTTGCGCAGATTCCGGACCTCTTTCTCGTGCTCACCCAAGTAAAGTAGCGCTGTCCAAGCGCGTGTGGTGAGAGTCCTTAGTTTTCATTTCGATGCTATAATCCTCAACCCCTACGGGCCCCTACACCCTGAACCGGACACCTTGCACTCTAAACTTATACTGCGACTCAGGCCTACACCGCGTGCGTCTTTGCGATGCTAGGCGCTTCGCTGTCCTTGTTTGAGAGAAACGGCCCTACATGTCGACTGAGGGTCAGGGTGTTTATGTTTAGTTTAGGGTTAGAGACCTCCCATGAGACCAGGCACCCACCTTCCAGACAAGAATAGTCCATCTTTTGCCCTCTAAGCGGCCGTGTGCCTCGTTCTCCTACCGCAAAATTGTAAGTTCCCAGAACTCCATTCCGTAGCTAAACTCGAAGCTCTTTAAGACTCAGAGTCCGCCTCTTCAACAGGCCTCCGGGCGACGTTCTTCGCTGTGGATGAGCTGGTGAAGCTCTTTACCCTCCTGCACGCACCCCGGAAAGGAGGATTTCCGGTGGTTCCAGTGGCAGGAGGACACCCTGAAACCTCCGCCCCCAACCCTGCTACATAAGCCCCTCCACACCCTAAAGAAATAAACCTTGCAAAACCTTCACCGTTTGGTCCAGAGTTTCTTGCGCCGAAGCCGCCATGGCAATACGCGCACGTCCGCGGTCCAGTTTTGCGCTTGGCAAAGCAGGTGTAACACGATCTCTTAGGGGAATTGATCCTCGGACTCCGAGCTTTGCCGAAGCGGAGGCCCTACGCGGTTTCCGTGATCTTGATCTTCATCGGGGCCAAGTTGGTGCCCCACCAAGCCGGGGGTGGTTATTCTACAGGGAATCCGGGGAAACGGGGGGCGCCGTCTCTGTGAGCTCTGCTTCGAGGTACTGCGTGGTGTGATCCACATCCCAGCACAGGACAGGCTGCTCAAGACGATGGAATCACGTTTCCGAGGGGCCTCAGTCGCCAAGCGTGAAGAAACCTTGCAGGTCGTGTGCATGACCCTCTTTACGGTGCTGCTGGTCAGTCCGGGCCTCAGGGCAATAAAATCCAGGAGAAGAAGAGCAGAAGAGTGTGTGACAGGTGAGTGCTTTCTTCTAATTCTAACACTTTCCAAACCCCCCCTCCCTCCTTCGTTGCTTCTTTTTGGAAGGTATCTTGGCCTCCGTGGTGTATGACCGCTTCCGTCCAAAGGCCCGGGTCGGGGAGGCTCTGCTTCTGAGCTTCTCTGGTTCTTCTCACTCTGAAAGGACGACGAGGAGGGCAAGGCGCGCTTTTTCTGCCTTTGCATGTCGGTTCGAGGTTCTTCTGTTTGCAGGTTGCTTGTGTTGGGTTCTGGTGGAAGTTTGGGGGGAAGTTTCTTGCTGCCACAGCCCTCTCGGAGCCCCCCCCCCAGGCGAAGGACTACATCTCCCCGCTCGCTGCCGGCAACTGCGGCAACGCGAGCTTCTTCCCTCAAAAGGCGCTGTTGCCCTTTGCCGTCCCTGCACTTCCCAAGAACTCATGTCAGGGGCTTCCCCCTGCAGCCTCTCCATGTGATGGGTTCCTCTTGCCAATGCTCCAGAGCTCCTAAAAGCGGGGTCTGCTCTTCCTTGCAGCCAGGCAGAGGACACGGATGCCTCCTGATTCTGAGCAGAGCGCTCAGCCCGCAGCCGCAGGGCGAAGTCTCCGTTTCACTTCACAGTCTGGCGCCCTCGCTTAAAAGCTCGGACGTTTGCAGCTGTGCACCTTCGGCCGTCGGCCTGAGATCCTTGGCGGTTAGCGACTCCTGGTGGAGACACGATGATGGTTTTTCAGGGGTTAGCGGCTTCCAGGAGCTTGAGTCAAAAGTCCAAGGTGTTCAAACATTCTCAGCACCTGTCCAAGCCACACCCCAGTTGCGGCGCAACACTGCAGCTGCTTCACGAGCTCCCGTGCATCCCATGTCAATGTCATTCAATGTCAAAGACTTGGCCTTGCAATGGATCCGGCACCTCGAGTTTTGGCAGATGACGCGCAGCGCTTGGTGCCAAGCAGCTTGGAGATGTGCATGTTTCGGCACAGTTTATTGCAGATCCTGCCCAAGTTGCATCATGTTGCATAGGTATTCTTCTTGGTTGTTGTGCAGGATGCTCTTGTCGGGTTCCGTGCTTCCAGTGCTTGTTGTGTTGCAGCCAGGTTTCCCTGCTGGCGACAGCATCTTCGCTCGGAATGCTCTACTTGGCACGCTGCGAGATGGGGCCAGATTCAGATGGCCAGAAGCTCTTTTGGTGGCCCGAGGGCTCGCGGCTGATCGCTTGCAGCCAACAGTGGTAACGTTCGGTGCCACGGCCACGGGAATACCGAATATCCTGCACTTGGCTTTTTTCTTTTCCTGCGAGGGCCAGGGCATAGCTTGATATGATTGGCTTGCCACCCGCCAATCTTCTTCCCGCTGAGGCACCGCCGCGACGGCATGTGAGAGGGGCCAGCAGTGGCACTGGGCACTGACTTTGTTCGAGGCCGTGGCAGGGGCCCGCTTGCAAGCTGATGCTTTGACTTACGGTGGGGCGATCGCGGCGCATAGAGCGCAGTTGCACTGGGGCGAGGCCTTGTCGGTGATGTCTCAGATGGATAGGAACCAGGTGAAGCGGAACCTCTTCACCTATACGGGCGCCCTCAGTGTGATCGAACGAGCTGAAGGCTCTGCAAGCGGCGCTGCAAGTAGCTCTGCAGCCTCGGAACTCTGGCAGAGGGCGGTGTCCGTCTTTTCGAAGGCATGTTTGGAGCGAGTCGATGCAGAGGCTACATACGGGACAGTCCTCGGCTCCTGCCGAAAAGCCGGGCAGTGGCAGAAAGCGCTTGGATGTCTCAATGCAGGTCTGAGGCAGTTGAGGCTTGGGGCGACCTGCTACAATCTGGCTCTTGGGTGCTGCGCCGACCTGAAGCAGTGGCAGGCCGCTTTGTCAGTTTTGGCGCTGATGCAGTCGACCCTTGGAGCATGAGATTGGCAGTGTCCTGGGGTCTTAAAGCGCTCTTCCTCAGAACTCTTCAAGCGGGGTTTCGAGGAATGGTGTGGAGCCTACGGTCGTTTCCTTCACTGCAGCTGTGGGCGCTTGCAGCGAGTGGAAGCAGGCCGAGTCAGGGTCGGAGTGGGGTGTGCTGAGCGCGGAGTTCTGCAGAGGTCCCCCCAAAGATCCGAAAGAAGCGGGATCCGCCCGGCCCAAGCCCGTAAGCCCGTGAGCACCGTCCGCCCTTCTCTCAGGCCATGGGTTTGATGGCGGAGGCTTTGAGATGCCGCCTGGAGCCAGATGAGCGTCTGCCGCTCGGCGCGCTGAGACAGAGAGACCCGCCCAGAACCCCAGCCCGAAGCGGTGCTGTGATGTGCCCATCTAAGCCGGAGCGAAGGTTTCTCTGCTCTTCTCGTGAGCTTTGACTCTTTGACTTCCTGCTTCCTTCTTTGGAGGTACAAGGCTTTGGTCTGGGCCTGCCGTGAGGATTTTGGGGTGCAGCAGCTGCTTCTCAAGGAGGCTGCGGCCAAGGGCTTGGCCCTGGCTGCTGAGGAAAGCGAAATGCCAGAGAAGATTCAAGAGTGGCTCGGAAGCATCGCAAGACTTCCCAGAATCTCAGACTCAGACTGCTTAGCCGCGCGCGTCTTGCTGGCACTCCCGGAGGCCGCAGTTGGCCGGAGAGGCCCAGTACACGGCCGTGCTGCGCTCCCTCCAGGGTGCTGGAGACTGGCAGCAGGCTCGGGCAGCTGCTCACTGCTCGTTGTGACATCTTCGTCGAATTCATCAGTGGCTCCTTTCTGGTTGCTGTTTCTCCAAAAGTTACATTGGGGTCTCCATCGTTCCCGGAAGTTGTGCGTCTCAGGGTCCAGTGCCGGGTGGGGTCTCGGAACATCAGCGCGGATTTCCGAAGCAGATCAAGCTAGGCCCAGTCTCGGTTCCGTGGCGCTTTTCTCGTGACAGAAGCACTGCAAGTCCCAGCCCCGAGCGCCAGATCCCAAACAACCTCACACACGAGCCCGGAAACTCGATCCACAAACGGCTGGAGTTATTTTGGTACGCGTAGGCGGTGCGCTCCTTGTTCTCAAACTTTCTAGTTTCTTTCGAGCGGTTTGCGCCTTGTGCTCAGATTCTCTATTTTGTTTGGGGCGGTTTGCTCCTGGTTGTTAAAATCTCTAATCATTTTCGAGCGCTTTGCTCCCTGTTCTCAACTTTTCCAGCTTTTCGCTAGTGGCTTGCCCTTGGTTTTTCAAATCACAACATAGTCTCTATTGTCTAGTCTCTTTCCAGCGGTTTGCTCCTTTTTATCAAATTCTCTGGTCTCTTTAGCGGTTCGCTCCTCGTTCTCAAATTCCCTAGTCTCTTTTTCGAGTGGTAAGTTTTCTTCTGTCCATTTCGAGCGGTTTGCTCCTTCGTTTCAAGATGTCTAATCTCTGTGCTGTCTCTTGGAGCGGTTTGCTCCTGATGTTAGTTTTTTTTTCGAACGGTTTACCCCTTATTCTCAAGCGCTTTAGTACGTTTCGCTTGGTGTGCTCCTTGTTTTGTAATTCTCTGTTCTTTTCGCGCGGTTTGCTCCTTGCTCTGAAATACTCTAGTCCTTTCGAGCGGTTTGCTCCTTGTTCTCAAATTGTCCAGTCGTTTTTGAGCTGTTTGTTCCTTCTGTCTGCCTGTCTGTCGCTCTATTTCTCTTTCTTTCTCTTGTTTCTCTCACCTCTGCTATCCCTCGTTCCGCGTGGTTTCCCTCCGTCTCTTGTTTTGTCTCCTTCTCTCTCTCTCTTTCCCCTCTCCCTCCCTCTCTGTCTCTCCCTCTATCACTATCTCTTTCTTTCCAGTTACTTCTGACTCTGTGTTTCTGTCTCTCTGTCCCTCCGTCTCTGTCTGTCTCTTTGTTTTATTTTTGCTCCTTCGGCTCTAGACCGGGGGCGAAAAAAACCTTGTACGGCCGAAAAGCTTGTTTCTTGCCTCCTTAAAGATTCTTTTTGTCCGTCGGCCTTAAATCCCCAAAGCCAGGACGTGAACAACACTGTATGGCCGGTTAGATTGTGTTTTGCATCCTTCATTTTTTCCTCCTTCTGCCCTAGACCCCAAACCCTGAGGTCTGAACAGGGCGCGAAAAAAGAAGCCAAGCGAGAAAGTGAGCATTAGGAGCCTTTCTGGGGAGAGAAAAAGCCTCGCCCATCCATAAATTCACCAGCCCTCATGAGTTCGCCCTGGGTCGGGTTTAGGGTCCTCGGGTTAGATCCCAGTATATAGCTTTGACACCATCTTTTGGGTCAGGTTGCTCATAGATGGTGGGGTTTGTTGGTTTAGGCTTCTTCGGGTCATTCGGATCATCGGAGTGTGGGGTTTGGATTTGGATATCTGGTGTTCTGGGGTCGCTAGGGAAATTGCGGTGTAAGTGGCACCATGTGTAGTGTTGCTATCCGCCTTAATGTGAAATTTCCGGCTACAAAGCGAACGAAACCATTGCTGAGTCGTCCATAGTTTAATGAGGATTTGTCTTAGTTTTAGTCGGCCATGTTGTTTTTTTGTTTCTTTACGAAGCTTGTTATCAGAGGCTTGAGGCAGGCTCGGACAAGCTCCAGAACTGGTGTCTTTTCGAGATACTAGACTGGCTTGGAGGAAGAGAGAATCGACGTTTGTTTTGTTGGATTGTGTTGAGGCTAGCGGAAGAGGGCTTGAAGTTTTTCTCGGGATGAGGTTTCAGGCTGGCTTTGAGGAGGGTTGCGAAGTTTCTTGAAAGGCTGGCTTCGAACAGTATTTTGAAAACTTTTCCTGGGTTGTATCAGGTCTGAGTCTTCCTATGAAGAGGATTTTTTGCGGTTGCTTTGCTTGGCAGGGTCGGCCCGGAAGACAATTTCTGTTTTCTCTTGTCTTCACGGGATATCATGAGGTCTTCGGCTGGCTCGGAAAAGGACCGTTGTCGGAGGATAGGATGAGATTTTGAACCGTCTTCAGGGTTGTTTCCCAGGAGTTTTGGATTGGACTGACGTGGTGTATTTTCAATACAGGTATATGCTTGGACCCAAGCTCGCGCTTGTCATGTTGCGAACAGAAGTTTTGGCATGGACTGCCCAATCGAATGGGGAAAAAGGACGCAAACTTTAATACCTGGATGCCTCTGTAAAGGTTGAGACGTGGGCTCAGCCTTCGTCCGCCCATCCGGAACCAGAATCATCACCCCCAAGCGAACCCTACCACAGACAATGTGAAGAATGAAGTGGGCCCTGCATGGGCCAGACGCTCAAAGGTCAGGAGAACACAACGGCAGTGCTTGTTCCGAGGAAGCAGATGGAGCACGCTCAGCACGACGTGTTGGTGTTGTTCCATGCAGCCAGCAGTCGGTGTGATGCTGCACTCGACCTGCCCAAAGCAGTCGTAGTGCGACAAGCGCACGAGAAATTGCAAAGCTGATTCAGCAGCGCTTTTGGTGTCAACTGGTTTGATGACGCCGGGCTTGCATCGCCGGTCGCATGAACTTTTGGCGACCGCAGCCCCTGATCAGAAGACCAGTGCTGTTGACCTGCCCAAAGCAGTCATAGTGCGACAAGCTCACGTCAAATTTCAAAGCTGATTCAGCAGGGCCTTTGGTGTCAACTGGTTTGATGACGCCGGGCTTGCATCGCCGGTCGCATGACAATGAATTTTGGCGAACGCAGCCCCTGATCAGAAGACTTTGACAGTGGAGAACGAACAAGGTGCTGATAGTTCGTCTGCTGCAGTCATAGCGGCGAACTGTGATGCGTACATTGGCCCACTGCGTGATGTCTCGCATCCGTGGCAGGAGTTAGGCCCTCTCGTGTCAGGCGCAGCCGTATGTCTCGTAGTCGAGAGCACTACCGCTTGCGGTCCGGCAGCCACAGTTCTGGCAGCTTTGTCTCGTTTGCAAGGATTACTGGAGGTGGCCGCGCATGTTGCATGTAATACAAGTAAATAACAATATGGCAAAGGCTCTCCAATGCTTGCCTGACGCAACACCTTCGACGCTGAGATGCGCCAGGGCCTCCCGTCGGCTCCAAATCTTTAACCTGTCTGTGTTGCCGTTGGCGCGAGCGTGTCGCCCCAATTCCGGGGGTGGCTTGTGGCTCTGCCACCACCTCAGAGGCAGCTTCATTGGTGTCATGGGCTGCTGTGGCTCGGGACATGTTGCTGCTGGTGGTATTTAGGGCCAAGCCAGAACCCCTTGAAACCAGATCCGGCCTGCCGGGGCCAAACTTCGAAAATCCCTGCCCACTTTACCCACTTTCCCGGGATTCCCGAAATCATCGCGAAGGGTTCTTCGGCGCAAAGCCCTTGAGAGAAGTACATAGAGTGAAGTGCACCGAGTGAAGTGCATAGCGCATAGAGTGAAGTATATAGTACATAGAGTGAACTACATCGAGTCAAGTGCATGGTACACAGATGACTTTATGACTCTATCTCACTCTGACTCTATGACTCTATGACTCTATCCCACTATGACTCTATGACACTATGACTCTATGATACTATGACTCTGTGACTCTATGACTCTGTGCTGTTGACTCTATCCGACTTATCTACATCTCGGTATATAATCTCTCTTTCTAAAGCCAGGGTGGCACCGTCGTCATCGATCGGGAATTCAACCCTTCACAGGGATTGGCGTGGTCGAGCGTCCAAGCGTGTGGGAACGTGACAACTCTTCGGAGACAGGCGCAACCCTTCACAGGGATTCGTGTGGTCGAGCGCCCAAACGTGTGGGAAAGTTGCAACTTGACTGGTCCACTTTGAACCATTCGCAGGGATTAGCGTGGTCGAGTGTTGAAACGTGTGGGAAAATTACTACTTTTCGGCGCTCTTAGGCGCCATTCGCAACCCTTCACAGGGATTCGTGTGGTCGAGCGCCCAAACGTGTGGGAAAGTTACAACTTGACTGGTCCACTTGAACCCTTCACGGGGATTAGCGTGGTCGAGTGCTGAAACGTGTTGGGAAGTTACTACTTTTCGGCGCTCTTAGGCGCCATTCGCAACCCTTCACAGGGACTCGTGACGTGTGGGAAAGTTACCACTGTTCTCTTGTAGGCGCCATTCGCAACCGTTCACAGGGATTCGTGTGGTCGAGTGTACGAACGTGTGGGAAAGTTACAATTTTTGCGGTGCTTTGCGGTGCTCGGGAGAGAAGTACATAGAGTCAAGTGCATAGTACATAGAGTGAGTGAAGTACATCGAGTTACGTGCATAGTACATAGAGTGAAGTACATAGAGTCAAATGCATAGTGCATAGAGTGAAACTACGTGCATAGTGAAATACATCGAGTTCCGTGCATAGTACATAGAGGGAATGAACTACATCGAGCTACGAGCATAGTACATAGAGTGAAGTACATAGAGTCAAGTGCATAGTGCACAGAGTGAAAGTGTACTTGACTCTATGGCTCTATGTACCTGTGTACCTGACTTATGTACTTGACTTGCGCACTGGACTGGACTAGACTAATATGGCTCCATGTACATGTACACTTGACTCTATGACTCTTTAGGGTTTAGGGTTTAGGGCTGAGGGTTTAAAGCATAGGGTTTAGGGTTCATTGCTTAAGGGTGTAGGGCTTAAGGTTTAAGGTTTCTAGGCATTGGTTCACCAATAGTAAACCAATAAATCTCGAGATTTTCGTTTGTTTCAATCATCCATGAAAAACTTGAGGTTTGGGGACTTTTGAACCGGAAATTTGACTTTAGACCAAAAGAGACACCTCCAGTACTAAAATTTGTATAAAATGAAGAATTCGATTTGGGGTGCTCGGGAGAGAAGTACATAGAGTGAAGTACATAGAGTCAAGTGCATAGTCCACAGAGTGAAAATGTACTTGACTCGACGACTCTATGTACCTGTGTACCTGAAATATGTACTTGACTCTATGCACTGGACTGGACTAAACTAATATGTCTCGATGTACATGTATACTTGACTCCATGACTCTTTACTATGACTCTTTAGGGTTTAGGGTTCAGGGCTGAGGGTGTACGGCTTAGGGTTTAGGGTTTATTGCTTAAAGGTTTAGGGCTTCAGGTTTAGGGTTTATAGGCATTGGTTCACCAATAGTAAACCAATAGATCTCGAGATTTTCGTTTGTTTCAATCATCCGAGAAAAACTTGAGGTTTGGGGACCCTTGAACCGGAAATTTGACTTCAGCCCAAAAGAGACACCTCCAGTACCAAAGGTTGTATACAAAAATCGATTTTGGATCCAACCTTGGGGACTCTATGCATCTATGCATTGGACTATTTGACTCTATGTACTGGACTATGCACTTGACTCTATGCACTTCACTGTATGCAGTTGACTTCATGTACTTGAGTTTATGCACTGATTCGAGAGCTTTGACAACACGGAGGGAAGTACGCAGAGTGAAGTACATAGAGTGAAATGCATGGAGTCAAGTACATCGATCTCGGCATTGTTATGTACTTGATGACTATATGCACTTCACTCGCTGACTCTATGATTCTATGCATTGGGTTCTATGACGTAGCGCAAAACTCTTCGCTAATGATGCTCTCGTGCCAATTGTCTTCTAGTTTTTTCTTTCACGCATGCCCGAGCCTTGCTTGGGTGGAAACCCGGAACCCTGGCCAACGCCCGCCCCCAAACCTGACTGTTCCTCCGTTTGATCCGAAGCGGTCCGAAACCCTTTTACGGTCCGAACTAACCCCACCCTCCGACATCGCTCCCTACCGACAGGAAAATCAGTTCATGATGCTAGGGTTCCGAAAGTGATCGTTTAAACTAAGTGGACCTTGATTTCCTGCTGCTCGAGGCACTGGTTCTTCTTTCGGCGGTCGCAGCGAAAGGCACCCAGCTGGACCTTGCCTTCTACTCCACGCTGCTCCGGGTTTGCCGAAAAGGAGCCCAGGATCAGAGGTGACAGAAAGCCCAAGCCCTAGTCATGTCGTCCACCCACGAAGATGCCCCAAGCTGGTATTTGGACGGCTGTACCTGCAAGACGAGACGATCCGCTTGACAACAGACTAAGCCTTCTATGACCGTTAAACTTGTGAAAGTCTGGTTCTGCTAACACTGGGTTGTTGTGCAGAAGCCTAATAATCCGTTTAGAATCCGTTTTGGATGCATGGGGGAATGCGTTTGGTAATCCGTTTGGAATGCAAGCGTGTTTGCAGGTCCGTTTCGGATGCGTTTTTAATCCGTTTTGGATCCGTTTTTAATCCGTTTTGGATGCGTTTTGGATCCGTTTTGGATCCGCTTTGGGTCCGTTTTGGATCCGTTTTGGGGTCCCAGCCTCGGAACACCAAAACGGATTTGCAACGGGCCCCAGACGGACCCCCTGACGGGTCCGCAGGCGGGTCCCCCAGATGGGTCCCCGGCGGGTCGCCGAAACCACGAATCCCTCGAGAGGGATCCGTTTTTAATCCGTTTTGGATCCGTTTTGGATGCGTTTTGGATCCGTTTTGGATGCGTTTTGGATCCGTTTTGGATCCGTTTTGGGGTCCCGGGGCTTGGGTCCCCAAACGGATCCAAAACGCATCCAAAACGGATTAAAAACGGATCCCTCTCGAGGGATTCGTGGTTTCGGCGACCAGCCGACAAACCCGTCTGGGGGACCCGCCTGCGGACTCGTCAGGGGTTCCGTCTGGGGCCCGCTGCAAATCCGTTTTAGTGTTCCGGGGCTGGGGCCCCGAACGGATCCAAAACGGACCCGAAACGGATCCAAAACGCATCCAAAACGCATCCAAGACGGATCCAAAACGGATCCCCAAACGGATCCCCAACGGATCTGAAACGCATATTTAGGAAATTTAGCATTTCCAGAGTTAGCAGGCAACAGATTTTCACAACGTTAGACATTGAAACCTACAGCAACCCTGTGCACCCCAAGCCTCCTAACCTTTTCACCGCGCGACTAAGAACCAGGCTCCTTTAGGATCGCCCAAAGCGCGGGGAAACAACAAAGCGGAAAACAACCGCAGCGCCGACCATCTGTATTGTTTTCATATCAGAGATACGTTATACCATCATAGACGTAGACACTCAGCACTGTTTTGGTCGCATTAAAATACAGTTCGTTTTGAGCCAGGAGCCGCTTGGAGCGCTGCTCTTCGGCTGTTAGAGGAAGCCAGGGCGGCCTTCGCTGCCCAAGGGCAGGCTCCAGCATCTGGGACGCTTTTTCATCGGGACCTGTGTTCCGGTGTCTAGGCTTCGAGTCTTATCGGGCTCAGGAAAGTTCAGGGTTCGGTTGGGAAGTTAGGTGGTTTCGGTTATTCATCTTGCGCGGCCCGTCTCAGGACATCGGGATGCACCTCTCGGCTTTCTATGCCTGCGCTGCCTGCAAAGAGGGTCGCTCCACACTCGCTTTGCTCCTTGGCAGCCCGCTTCGTGTTCAGCAACCATCGGTGCATGTACCATCGGGCCAACGTTCCTGAACATGCCAGCAGGTTCAAGACGATGCAGGGCGCAGGCCAGCGGCAGCAGTTTCAAGTCTTGAGCCCTTGATGTTCTAGAACCCCTCATCCCAGAAACCTTTCCTCACCATCTTCTTCAATCTTGTAGCAGGCTTTTCGCCACCGCGCGAAGCTTTCGAGGCAGGACTCGCAGCCGCGGCCGTGACCGATTGGGCGGATGCTCTCGAGCAGCTCTGCCGCCACCAGAGCTGTGAGTGATGGCAGCGATGGGACATAAGTCGAAGACGGGTAGGGCCCACTTTGTGAGCAGAGGCAACAGCGATCCCAAGAGCTTAAATCCCCGAAACCTTAGCCTCAAGCCGCGAAGCCTTAGACCTCGAGGTTATTTTTGGAGGGCCTGCGGAAGTCCGTGCCACTGAAGCCGGAAGCAGGCGAGGCCGTGATGGAGCTCCTTGCGACACTCGGCAGAGCGTTGTCGGCTGCGAGGTTTTCTCGTGGAGCTGGGACAAGCCCAGTAGCTCTCGTGCAGAGCAGTACTGTCACAGTGGTACTTGAGATCACACAACAAAGGCGGGAAGCGAAATGGGACGCAGCTGTGCAGCTACTGGCCGCGATCGACAGGGCGAGCTCTTTCCAACGCACGGAGCAGCTCCTCACTGCTGCCATGTCAGCCTGCCGGAAGCGCCGAAAGTGGTGGCTTGTCCTAGGCAGGGGAGAGGGGAGAGACTCGCGGCGGTTCTTACCCGACACTAGATGATCCCAGAACTGCAGAGGCCTCCTCACGCAGGCCCGGGAGAGCCGGAGCCTCACGGTTGACCTTGGGATGCAGCCTTTCTGCAAAAGAAAATGTCACGAACGTCTTATGAAAGTCGCAAGGGAAGCCTTAGGCAGTCCTTGCTGGAGCGGGGGAGTTGGAAAGATCCGAGGTACAACCATGCCTTGGGTGCATGCTCACGCAGTCAGGCGCGTGGCTTGCAGACGGACGCTAAACTCCTAAACCCCAAAGCTCACAGCGTTTCTCCGTCACTTCGGAGGTCTGGCAGCAAGCCTTGGCCGTCTGGGCCCAGATGGAGCTTTTGGACCTGCCGGACCAAAGGAGCTACGCCTTGCTCATCGACGCATGCCGACGCCGAGGTGGAGCCAAGCACCTGGTGCCGGGTTTCGTCAAGAAGGCCGAAAGCAAAGGCTGTCGACTGAGCAGGGATGCCTACTGCGAAGCTGTTCGCACGCAGCAAAGAGCTTCGCAGTGGCAGCAGATGGTCCTCCTGCTTTCTAGCATGGAAGCAATGCAAGTGGTGCCGGATGCCGGGATCTGCGAGATTGCGCTGCGGCCTTTTGGGAAAGTAGCTTTCCGCGCGTGGGAGTATGGTGTCGCCTTGCTTCGGCGGGCCGAGCAGCGGGACTTGCATCTCGACGGAGCCGCCTACATGCACCTGGTTCGCGCTTGCAAGAAATGCCAGATCTGGTCGCAAGCAAGCCTGCTGCTGATTTCGAGACTTGTCTAAGACTTTCGGAGCGTTTTGACGTGAGGCGTTGTACAGCAGGCTTCAGAGCCTCCTTCGGAAGCCTGGCAGGAAAGCTCGGACCTCGGCGACCTGGGAGGAAGCCGTCGAGACCCTCGCCACAGCCGCGACCTTCGCTCTGGCCACGGAGGCCTTGGCCTCTGCTCCTGACTTGAGCTCCCTGAGACTACGTGGCGTAGATCATGTTGCATGTTGCAGAGGCCTCTTCTGTCTAGAGAGCGGCCGCGCTGTGCGGCTGTACGGCAGGATGGAAGTCTCACCTCGACCTGGCGCTGTGGTCTCTGGGCCTTGCAGCTCTTGCCCGGGCCGGCGGGACCCGCCGGGCAGCCAGGGCCTCTCTGCGAAGCCGCCCTCCGTCACTCGGCGCAAAGTCCCTCAAGGCCCAGACCCAGGCATGGGATCTCTAGTGAGTGAGTGAGTGAGTGAGTGTCGACCGGCACTTACGGTGCGGCCTACCTCCCACGTCCCTCTCAACATCTCGGGGGGGCTCCGCAAGCGTCATCGCCTCCCTCCGTCCCAGAGTTCAAGTGGGGGAGAAACTAGCTAGTGCAGACAGGTCACGGTGTAGAATACTAAGATACATGTTTCAACCCAAGAATCGGAGAGGCATAGTCCTTGATCAGGGATAAAGCAGGCAGGAGGCCAAGCCAGACGTCACCAACCGATAATACTTATGCTTGTATGCACCAAAGAACACACTAAGTAACCGGCAGCAGACGCAAAGAGTTGCAAGGGGGCGAACCGTGCGGCCAGTGCCGAGGGAGCGAGGCTCCATGCACAGAGGGCACACACAAGGCGACCCAAAGGCGTGCGCCATGTGCAGAGGGAACACTGTTCCAGCACCGAGGGCGAGCACGCCAACAATCAGGTACAGTAAATGAACATGCACACCACCGCGGCAATGAACAGCACAGAGGCGCAGCCCTGGAACAAGGCCGATAACAAAGGTAGCAATCCAGAGAGCTGCTAATGCATATGATGAGCGTGGAATACCTCACATATACACTGGATGTCCTCAGGCCCATGATGGGTGGAGACGTCGGCATCGTCGGATCAGTTGCAACAACAGTTGAGACAGAATACTAGAGGGCACTGTCGCCCTAGCACAAGGGAGGGGGGGAAAGGGGGTGCTCATCGGGCAAGAGCCCTTAGTGCCGCCGCCCGGGGTCCACACCTTTCCAAAAGAAACCCCCGCCCCAAAGAGAGTGCTAGGCCCGGGGGGGCATGGGATCTCTATGTGTCTTTGCCAATCTGTGCGGTAGCCAAGCTCGACTCATGTGCTGCGACGACAGATCGTATCGAAGGTCTGCGAGGCTTGCAATGACAATGAGCGTGTCGTGAGTGCGAGTTGACGTGTTTCTTAGGGATCTGTGCGGCTGCCGGTGAGTGGCAGCAGGCAGGAAATCATGGCCAAGGGTCGCACTTGTGAGCATTGGGAGTTCTTGACGGTGAAGCCTTAGCTGCACTGCTGCGCCCGGTACTGGTAGCCTCTCTCACTCTCCTCAACTTCACTTCCGCCTTCCTCCGACCGGGCCAGGCTGTGGCCGCTTTCGCGTGGATAGATGAGCCCATGCGCTTTGGAGCTCCTGGGCTCATGTCGGACGACGGTGATCACCCCAATTGCCGTTTAACCGATTGCAAGTACTGCTGACTGCCACTGCTATCATCGTTATCATCATCACTATCATCAGTATCACTAGCACATTTGTTTATATGATGCCGGTGATTGGTGTTGTAGCGTTTTGTTGCGCATTTCATCATGCGCAGACACCCCGCCCAGGACCCTGCCTTTGCTGCTGCGGTGGTCCAGGCTTGCGAGGACTGGACTTTCTGAGGTCCCTCTATGCGGTTTTGTCGAGGTTTGGAGCAGCCCTCGGGCCCCCCCATTTCTTTCGTAGAGCCTTCTTCAAGACTCCAAGGCCACCCCCGAAAATATGGGGCGAAATCCCGCAAGCATGCCAAGCCTGCTAAACCAAAGAAGCTTTGTCAGCGACAAGAGTAGCAGCTTACCGGTTGCGGCAGCACTTCTGCTCAGCCGGAGAGCGGGTGTGTATGCTCCCTCCTCCTGCGAGACATTTCAGAAGGTAATTCATGCGACAAGAGTGCGTTGGTAGTGCTCTTACAGTGTTCGAAGCTCTGGATGGCCTCACCGATGGTCTTGCTTCTGCTCGCTTTCACCACCCAAGAAGAAAATTGATCAAACAAAGCCAAAGCTTCCTCTGGCTAACGTGCGGATGCCGAACTTTTATGTTTACATACATTTTACACACTACGCTGCGAAGAGCTGCGAACCTCTTGCAGGCCTGAAGCTCCTGATAAAGTCGTGCTTCCGAGAACCCCGGAGGAAGAGCTTGCTTTGATTTAAGGGCCACAGATGTCTCGAGTCTCACATCCAAGTACGATGGGCTCATCGTTTTGGCGCTTGCTTTGTCCCTGCAGGATGCTCTCGAGTGGCAACAGGCCCTGTCTCTTCTGAGACAGGCTCGGACTCGGAAAGAGGGGCGACCTTCATGAGGAGATAGAGCCCAGAGTCCCAGGGCGCGTCGTGTGCTACTCCTGCTACTTCGGCACTTCGCTCGAGCAGTTGTGCAACACCCCTCCGCCCCTTCTACAGTACGGGTTCGTGCATTGAAGATGCAGCGCAGGCCCAGAGAAACAGCTTGGAGCTGGGCCTCGTGGACCTGGGAAGCGTTGCCTTCCGATTCTGAGCAGCGGAGGATGCCGGGTAGCGGTCAAAGCTGGGGTCTCGCGGTATCATCGTCTTGCCGTTTGTTAAGGGATTTCTACGGTTGGGCGGAGTATGCACCTTTGCCGAAGCTGCCCCACGTCTTCGAAGAGGGCGGCGTGCTCCGAATCGCCCCGAGGAAAGTGTGTACAACAAACAAGCGATGAAGTCATAGTAGAGACATGGGTCAGAATCGTGACAGGACTTGCATCCAGCAAGACTAAGGAACTGAGCATCCTGTATCATGAGGTTAGCAGTCGTGGCCATGCAGCTGCTTCCGTAGAGATGACGCGTATGTATAATATAATAATGATGCTTACACACACATACAGATTATCGAGAGATAGATACATAGATACATAGATCTAGATACATACTTGCGTGCAAATGTACATAGATATACATGGATCAGCAGAATAGTTGACGTTCCCAGACTGCGGCACCCCAAACTCTAAACCCTGAAATGGTCATGTTGACATCAGTCCGTGCACTCCTCTGGTGTTTGGAGACCGGCGCATTGTGCACTGACTCAGAGTTGCTGGCCCAGGTGCCAGTCTTCAATAGACACCAGACAGGAAGTTCTTCAAGAGTTCGGGGGGGTCTTGCCAGGCCTCTCATCTAAGAGACAGGCCTGCCTTCTTAAGCAAGCTCTGTCTTGAGAAACTCCTATCTGTTGTCCGATGCCATGTCCTGGATAGTCCTGGAGACAAGTGAGGCGCAAGAGAAAGTACATGGCGCGGGTGTAGAAGGACTTCTGCTATCTGCTGAGCCTGCCACGGAGCCTGACCGCACTCCTTGTCACGGCAGCTCATGCCACGCCTTAGAATGCAAGACGGTTGTAGCTATCGTCCGCGTCCAGAGGTATCTGACAACGCGTGTTCACTATCTCAGCAAGCATCCCTAGAGGCTTTTAAGCTTTTATGTTCTATGAGCAACATCGGAAGGCCTGGCCTGATTTCAAACCCAAACTTCTAAAGCCCTGAAGTTCCTGAAGCCAGAAGCAGAAAGCCGCCACATAAAAAAGACTCCAAACCTCTGGGGGGCGCGGCCGAGCCGAGTTCGCCTCCGGGCAGCTCGGGCCCCGGGCCCTGGCCTAGGCTTTGTGAGTTGTTTGGAAGGCCCCTCCCGGGCTCCCAATTTTTGAGTGCTTCAGAGTGTGAAGGTTATGAAGATCGAGCTTCCAAGGGGATGGTACCCTCAGAGCTCATGACATCGGCCGATTCGATTCAAGGCCTCTGGCTCAAGCTCTCGCGATTTTCCTGAAGGAAACCAGCAGAGCCTCTGCCGACGCAATGTGCCGTGCATACCTCAGCTTCGTCACCAACACTGAGGGCAAGACGATTTGGGACTACTTCTTCCTGTTCCGTCGCCAGGCGTTCCTGGACTTGGGGCTTGTCTTAGCAGTGCTTCAAAGCGTTGTGCTCCTGGGCGTGGATGACCTGTTTGGGGTTCTCGGGGTCTGTGTGATCTTCATCTGGCTCTGTGACGCAGCGCTGGTGCTGCGTTTCAGCAGTCGTGTGCGCGAGGCCTCCGCCGGGAACTCCATAAGCCAAGACCACATGGACGGCCTCATCCAAAGGAAGCGAATTCTCGTGGCGGTCTCCTTGTTGGGACTTATCGTCTACGTGGCCCGATTCTGCGTGGAGCTGAATGTGATCAGTGCTCTCGGGAGGCAGGATGCAATGTATCTTCCCATCGCCCTGGTGCTGCTGGTGGTGGTGCTAAAGGTATTTCGGCTCCTGGCGTTGAACTCCTTCAGCGATTGGCTCCGTTTGCAGGCTCAGCGCTTGTCAACATCAACAAGCGCTCCAAGCGTTTGAACTCTCCCCGGCCAAAGCTCTAAAGCGTTCGCAAGAAAAGAGTGAAAGGCTAGCAGTTTGCCCAACCGAAGCTGACAGTCCTTTGCAGGCGCCATCATCTTCGTCATCATCACTCGACTCAGCACCTTCTCCATTATCGCTCGCGTCATCATCACCTTCATGCTTAACCTCACCCGCATCTTCATCGTTATCCTAATCCGCATCTTCGCCGTCTTCCGATGTCCTATTGTTATCATCACTCGAATCGCCATCATCATCAGCATCATCGCCACCATGATGTTCATGCGAAGATCATTATATTATATGTCGTCGTCTCCTATGAGTGAGTATTGTCGTCTTTCTCGGCAACATCGTCTTCGCCAGTACCACAACTACTCCTACACGGCATGATGAGTTTCGTCATCTTGCATTGAATCGCTGCTGGTGCGGGATGGTGCGGGTGTTCTCCTGGCTTACCGATACAGTCTTGACTTTCGCATATTTTCTGCATCCCTACTGCTCACGTGCTCCAGCTTGGTATGGGGCAGTGCAAAAGCATCGAGGATGCTCATCGGGAAAGTGAGCAAAGTTAGGGTTTTGTGGTATCACAATCATCGTCGTCGTAGCGGAGCATTCCAACAGTAGGAATGATGGTCGAGACAATGCCAACGGCTTCTAGTCGGCTACATCGCGCCTTGGCCGAAGCTGCCTCAAGTCTTCAGGTGCTCCCAACCGCTCCGCACTCAAATTCAGTATGAAAGACAAGGACCTTGTCTTTTCATATTTTACCTGGTGAGCAGTCGTGGCCGCACTGTTGCCGCCGTCGAGATCCCCTTTCGTCATATGGTTCAACAGCACGGTTTGTAGTAGACACGTAGCAGGTGGTCCTACCGTTACGCTGCCACACCCCAAACTCAAGACTATGAAATGGTTGTGTTGACACCCGTCTTTGCACTCTTGTTATACTTGGAGTGCGCTGATTCAGAGTTGCTGGCCCAGGTGCCAGCATTCAAAGGACACCAGACAAAAGAATTCTTCAAGAATTTAGGGGGCTCCTGCCGGGGCTCTGATCAGAGACCGGCCCCTCGTCTTAATCGATGTCTCTGTTTTGAGAATCTCTCATCTGTTGTCCGATGCCAAGTCGTCAAGAACCCTGGAGGCACATCAGGCGTGAGAGAAAGCAACATGGAATCATGGAACTGACTGCCGACTGCTGTGGCGAAGTTCTGTATGACGGTGTGATGTTGCTGGCCGCAAGTCTAGGTCCAATCCACTTGCCACGGCTTCAGACCTCCGTCCGCCATGTCGCGATGTTTGCAGCGTTCGTGAGGGCGCTGCACACCGCCGTGGATGAGGACGGGGCGCAGACACAGACACCTTCTTGAAATCTTTCAGAGACGAAACCTCCCGTGCTGAGGCCATCATGCAGAGGCGATCCCTCCAAGAGCAGCTCGCGGAGGAGCTGTTTTCAGCATGGGACTGCTGCTGGGCAGCAGCGGCCTTAGCGGGAGTCATTTGGACTTGACTTGCCGGCTTGCAGTGACGAGCAAGATTGACATGACCATGAGGGGTCCACAAAGCCCGTTTGATTTGTTGTCATGTTAGGACTACCTTTGTTGCTATTTTCTGGATTTCGAGCTTGTCCTGAGGCACAGAAGGTGGACAAGCACGAAGTCTTTTCGTGATGGAAGGTTGGGCACTGCGTGCCTGCGAGGGATGCTGGAAGGCTCTCTGTAAGGCCCTTGCTCTGTTGCAGGTCGAAGCCGCCGCTCGTCAGGCTCCAGCAGGCGATCCGAAGCTCCGAATTTCTCAGAAGCCGCTACGGGTAAGCTAGGAAAACGCTTTGATCTCCGAGCGTCCAACGAAACGAAAGAAGACTGCTCTTCGGAAGCCTCAAGTCGAGTGGCCATAGTTCTGCAGCGAAAAACGGAGGTCGCCAGGTTCATGGCACTGGGACTCGGCAGGTAGTTCCTCTCGAGGTCTCGGGCTTAGGGCCTGTTCTGACACCCTTGCAGCGAGCTACAGAACTGCGGGCTGCGTCGGCCGTGCCTGAGAGCATTCGGTTAGGGTTAAGACTTCCCACTGCCAGGCCGACCACTTCAACAACGCATCGCTGTCGCAGCTCCTACTCAATAACATTTTCAAGCAAGAGGGCAATCTGCATGATGTCGGACAAAGTCAATAGACTGGCTGCTTCAGAAAGGGGGCAATGAAGAATGCAACAGACTCAGCACTTTGTTGCTCCCTTAAGCTTGCCAGACTCACTGTTTATTGGTGCATGCTCAGGATCGTGTACAACCGGTCCATCAGCGCATGCCGAAGATATGCAGGATGGGAGGATGCTTGCTCCCAATCTCATCTAAGACATCCTGGACGGAAGACGTCTCGGAAGTGTCTTTGGGTTTGGTGTGCACCCTGCGCAGTGCCTCCCTTCTCCCCTCATGTCCCATCCGAGGAGGCGCTCCGGATCCTCCATGGACTCAGGTCTGTCTCGCTGCAGTGCGACCTTGTCAGCCCCTTGTGGCATAGCTTTCGGTTCCCGGGGTGAGACTCGCGTGTAGGGGTAAGAGAGAGAGGCTCCCCCAAGCCTTCTTTCGAGGCTGCAGCTCCGCAATGAGCGTCTGCGATGCAGCTTCGCAGTGGCAGCGAGCCACGGCGCTGCTCGAGACGACAAAGGCCACCCTCGGGCCCCGAAGCTGCAACTGTGCTGAGCTCTTCTCGTCTCTGCTATGCAGAACTGAGGCCTCCAGATGTGATCATGTACGGCACAGAACTGAACGCTTGTCAAAAAGGCAGGCAATGGCAGCGAGCCATCCGATTGCTCAAGGACTGAATTGTGAGTGAACGATAGTGAAAAGGCAGAAAGCAACATTGCGGGGCTGCCTGGTCACCGCAAACTTCGTTGTAGCATCGCTATTGGTATATTTGCTCTCCGCACCGAGCAGTTTCGGCTTGGCTTCGCTCACGGCTTCCGGAGGATCTGCGCCGCAGTTTGCGGGCGGACGTGGTAACGTTGAACACGGCTATGTGTGGCCCATCATCAGGCTGGATATTTTATGGATTGTTGTGGTGTCCGAGGAGTCTGTAAATTCTGCAGCTTGGTAGCCTTGAATGCTTGCATATTTGCTCCGACAGAGTTCGTAGACAGAGCGAGAAACTTCTCGACTCCTTGTCTCTTACCAGAACTGGCTCTACCTCACTCTGAGGCGAGTGGCAAAACGCCACGCACCTGCTTGAGGAGGCTGCCACTTAATTGCATTTTTTGCGGAGGAAGCGTTGAAAGAGCGTCCCAGGGCTTGCAGGTCTCAGGGGCTCAGGGGTCGCTTAATGAGCCGTCCGGTCCCTACGTCACACTGTCTCCTTCGGGGCTGAGACCACGGGGGATATTCATGCGAGAGAGTGCGATTTGGCTCAGTCAAGGCCTCTTGGTCACTGCAGCCGAGCATGGTCAGCTACAATGTCGCCATGCGAAGCCAGCCAGCTGCAAAACTCTTGCTCCGTGCCAGTGCTGCATTCCCAAACCGTGTAATTGAATCGCGCTAGGCAAAAGAGCCCAGAGCCTGTGAATCCATTGCGGTCTTCAGCCATCGAGAAAGAAGAGGTCGTCATGCTTGTCACAATGCACAGGCCCTGTACCGGAGCGTTTGAGCAGTGAACTGCAGAGCAAGGAGCATCAAAGTTTCAAAAGCTTAAGCGGAAATGTGCTTAAACCCAACACTCTCCAAATCTCACGAGCCAAGAACTCGATGATTGCCAGCCCCTGTCCGTGGCTTGTTCTCTGTTGCCAGACGAAGGTTCGAGCTGGAGGAGGGCCGCAGAATTTCTGATGGCGGCCGGAAAGAACAAGTTGCGATCCACGGTGGCTTGCGAAGAGGGGCATCGAGGTTAAGGTGATCAGGACTTCCGGGGATTGTGGCTTTATTTTGCGGTGCGCTCGTGGGCTTATGCATTAAGTCATTAAGGTTTGTTGAGGCAGCTAGGGTTTCAGTTGGTTTCAGGGAGGGCCGCGCAGGTCCCGAGTTTTCTTCGTGGGGTCCTTGCATGTCCCGACCGGCCCATGTGAGGTAACCACTTGCGGCACGATGCTGGCTTGTGAGCTGCCCTGGACGGCGGAGCTGGCTCCACAGCTGAAGGGACCCTCCGAGTAGCGGCGTAGCGATGACTTCGGGCTTCCGGTGCAGCGCAGAGTTGGCTGAGAACTCGTCGTCAGAACCCTCTTCGGAGTAATGTTGAGCTCTATCCGCTTTGCCGGACTGCCGCAAGGTTCTCTTTTGGGCCTCTCCTCCTCTTCTCTCCTGCTCTCCTCTGCGCTGAGGTCCACCTGTCTCAGATGCAGCGAGAGCAGCTGGAGCCTCTTGGAGCCGCAAAAGCAGCGCTCTCGGGTTCCACTTTGGCGTCGCCTCTTAGAGCCTCTCTGTCTCTGCCCCGGAAGCCGCGGGAGGCGCTGCGCTGCGTTCTTGCTCTGTTCTCTTCCGATCCCCCCAAAAAAGAGGAGAAATCTCCTTCTCCCTCCTCAGTTAGCTTAGGAAGAGTAAGTGTTGTCTGCAGCTCCTCCTTTTTGCCGAGGCCGAACCTCATCACTTTGAGTTCGGTGCTCTCGGCTTTGGCCATCGAGAGCTGGCAAACCTCTTTGGACCTCCTCGCCGAGGCCCAAAAGCGTGAGATGCAGCCCAACGACGCTCGGACGCGCGATCGGTCTCTGAAGCTCCGACACGGGAGCTCGCAAGGCATTCAGGGCTCACGGAGTTTGAAGTTTTGGCAGAGACGGTTTGAAGGCTTTCGGAGTGGCTCACCTGAATTGAGGAGTTTGCCTTGAGTGCGGCCACCAGCGGATGTGAGCAGAGCGCCGAGTGGGAGCTCGCATCGCCTTTCGTCTTCCAACTAGACTCAGTGCCTTCAAACTTCAGCTCCGAAGCCCGGGAAGTCGCCGGCCAGAGCGTCCCGTCGAGCGGCTTGAAGTCTTCTGAGGCACCTGTTGCGTGAAGTTGGCACCGGATTGCAAGCGAGACTTGTCTCACTGGCTGCGCAGCTGTGCGATTTGCGAGCTTTTCGTCATGACTTGGTGCCACTTGTCGCTCATGAACTTACGCAGCTTCCGGATTCCGGGACAGCTTGCAAGGAGCCTTAGCTGGAATGCCGCTGCAAGCGCTGCGGCTGCAGGCGAGATCGGACAGCAGGCAGAAGTCAAGTCCGTGTGTGGAGTTCGGAGGAAATGCCTGGGGGCACGTGGTCGGGTTGTTGCGGACTCTGCCAACCCAGTGCCACTGAATCGCATTCTGTAAGTAATGACTTCTCGTCGGATGGTGGTGGCTTCGAGTTGCACGTTTGTGCTGCCGAGGTGTGCAAGCGGATCTCTTGACGATGAGCGCCGCTGTGAGTTCGATGGTCGGCCACAGGCAGTGCTACGGTGTTGGGCC